AACTTCCTCGCGTTCTTCTTGATGCCTGCGATCCTCTCCAGCTCCTTCGCCACCTGGTCCAGCACTTCAGGACGCACCATGCTGGCGGCTCGGCCTCCTCCCATGAAGGCCTGCACCTCGTCCAGCGGCAGCTTGGAGTTGGCCTGCTGCTGCTCCTGCCGTCGTTCGTCCCAGTAGTACTCGATCAGCTGGAGCTTCCGGTACGCGGCCTCTACTCCCGCCAGGTTGTATATGTCCACCTGGTCGGTGGTGCCAAGCAGCTCGACCACCTTGCTCAGCGTCTCGTGCTCGGCCACCCCGAAGTCGCTGTCCTGCAGTCGGCGCCGGCTCTTCCACATCTCCGAGTGGAGCACAGGCCCGCCGTCACGCTGCTGGTAGGCCGCGCGCCACTTCACGGACCTTGGGGCCTTCACGCCGAAGTCCTGGACATCCTCTTCGCGGCAGTCGGTGACGACCGAGGCCCACGACCGCTCTCTGCCGATCGCGGTCCTCACCACAGGCAGCGTCCGTGCATCCGAGCCCCTGAACTCCCGCTTGAGGTGCTCGATCTCCGTGTCCGCCACCAGGGCGACGAAGACCGAGTGCCCGCTGGGCAGGAGGGCCACCTGGCGGCGACCGGCGCCGCCGGCGAGGGTGGGGCCCCCCGCCGCGCCGATGTCCACCGCGTCACCGTACGCCACGAGCCCCGTCAGGTCCTCCAGCGCGCGCCAGCTCCACCCCAGGGGGGCCAGGCCGTTCGCCGGGACGGCGATCGGCAGGCCATCGGGGATGGCCGGCGGCCGCCCCTGGGGCGCCGCGCCGGCGGCCGCACCCGCGCCGGCGGCGGGGGCTCCCATGGCGACGGGCACAGCGGGTGCCGCTGCCGCGGGCGGGGCTGGCGCCAGCGCAAGGCCTGGCGCGGGGCCGCCCGCGATGGGCGCCGGCGCTGCGGGCCAGGCCGCAAGCGGCACCACCGCCCCTGCAGGCGCGGCCCCCGCAGCCGCGGCCCCTGGCCCGGCAGCCCCGCCGACCCCAGCCATCACGCCGGCGATCGACTCGAACGGCACGAACTCGTTGTCTGGGATCGGCGCTCCTGGGCCGCCGCCCGCTCTGTCGTCGGCAACCCAAAGCCTCTCGGCCTCGGAGCGGGCGGCTGCCCGCATAGCTGCATACTCCTGGCCAGTGGGCTCGTCTCGGAACCTGTACACCTGGGCGCGTGGCACTGTTGCTGGGGGCGGCCACCTCGCAGGACTGAAAACCACTCGCGCAATATCCACGCCCATCGATCCTGCTCGATAGTCCTCCTCGTACACGTCGAGGTCGGGCGTCGCGATCAGCACTCGGCCCAGCTCAGTCGCCGAGCACACCCCGCGCCGGCAGCCCACTACCCGGCGCTGGTGGTAGACTGGGGCCCCCGGCACAGTGTACAGCACGAAGGCCCACTCGTCCAGGGCTGGGGGCGGCAGGGCCGGCGGCGCAGCCGCGGCCATCCTCCGCGGCTGGCGTCGTGGGCGGCGGGCTCGCCCGTCGCGAGCAGGCCCGGCTCCCCGCCACGCCGAAGACGGCGGCGACCACCAGCCCCCCGACGACGAAAGCCCCCAGGAGCACAGGCCAGGCGGGGCCGTGCGACGAGGTGGCCCGCGGCGGCGCTGGCGGAGCGCCGGGGCAGGCCGGGCAGCTGGGGATCTCCGGCAGCGGCGGACAGGCCGGCACCGCGGGGCAGGCAGGCACCTCTGGGCACCTGCTCGCTGCCAGCACCTGCGACAGGCCGACCCAGTGTAGCGTCTCCCGCACCACCGCCTCGGCCAGCGCCGTCTGCATTCCCCGCTGGCACCGCCCGTGTAGCACTTTCCAGCACAAGCTCTCGAGCTTAAACGGATACGGAAAAGGTTTCAATAGTGTTGTTGTCACGGAAACTCATTCAAACCTGCGGCCACTCTCTGACGCTGCTCTGCATTCCACAGTGAAACAGAATACAGAACCGTTTGTCTCCATTATGTCCGTCGTGGAAACGTCGGAGACGAAAAGCACGGGAGTTATAAACATGTCAGTTTTCCCTGAAGGATTGTGACGTTTTTTTCTTGTTCGGGCCCTCTCGGGGCCCTTCTCGGTGCCCCGTCGGGACGTTCCGGAGGCGTCTGAAGCCGTGTAGAAGGAATCTTGGGCGCCTTGGAGTCTCTCTGGGACGGTCTTGGGCCCCCTTGGGGCCTTCTTGGGGGCCTCCGGGGGCGTCTCGGAACGCTCTTTGGCCATACCAAGGCCTGCTGGGTCTCGCAGGGGCCGCCGGGGCCAAGAAAAAAACCCGTCGGACCCCTGGTCGTCTCACACGCACCTGCCCATGCATTGCAATAGAAACTAGGGCTGACCTGAGGACTCCGTCCATGAAATCTGCACAAACTGGCACGTGATTGTGGACATGCGGCCGGACGGCTGAAATTACAACGTGGGGCTCGACCCTCACATTCGGCGCATTATGCTGCGCGCTGCTGCTTGCTGTAGCTGTTGCCTATTGGTACTGCTTGCCGCTGCTGCGTGTCGTTATTGTTTGTGGCTGCAGGGTGCTGCTAATGGCCCTGGCTGCTTGGTGCGTGCTGCTGACCACTACGTGCTGATGCTGCTGCTGCTGCTTGCTGTTGCTGTGTGCTGCCGCTGCTGCTGCCTGCTTCGTGATTCGTGCTGCTGCCGTTGGGTAATGGGGGCGTGTTGGGCCGCCCCAGGATGATCTTTAGCCACCTTGAGGCCTCAGTAGGGAAAAAAGGCTGGAAACCAAGAAGCAACACCTTGCCTTTTTGTCCCACGCTGTTCCATGTGGGCTGTGGTCGCCCGAGAAGGTCGGAGGATGCGCGCGGGCTGCGTGGGCTCTGGAGAAGTTCGAAGGCACTGCGGAGCATGCCCCCACGAGTCGCCCTTTCAGACTGGGGCATATCCAAAGAAGGGGAGAAAATAAGAGACGCAGGAGCGCCTCATTTTCCTGCGTGGCCAGCGCGGTCCCATAGCTCTCTGAGGGATCGTCCCTCCGAAGCCTCTTGAATGCGGCTTTGGGGTTGTCTTGGGGGTCCCTCGGGGGCCTCTCGGGACTTGATCTGGGCCTCTTGGGGGCCTCCTGGGGCTTCTGTGGGGGGCGCTTGGGAGTCTGCCAGCGGTTTGTGGGATCATCCTGGAACGGAATGCGTATCAGTTCGAGTTCCCCCTCGTGGGGCCCTCTCGGGGCCGTCTTTGGCTGTCTTGGGGGGCTCTTGGGCCATCTGAGGGCTCTCCTTGACTGTCTGGGGGTGGGGCCGTCTTGCAGCGTCGAGAATCCGAAAAGGCGAAAACGCTGAAACCCTTCCAAGGCCAAGGATAATCAATGACTCTGGCCTCTCGGGGCCCTTCTTTGGGGCCTCTTGTGCCCTCTTGGGCCGTCTTGCGGCCCTAGAGGGCCGTCTGAGAGCCACATTGGCGACCTCTTGGACAGTCTGGAGGCATTTCGGGCCATCGTGAACCGGCTTGGGGCCCTCTTGCGTCGCCCTCTCACGCCGGGGTCGGTGTTGAGCCCTCTGAGATGTTTCGAGTCTGGCACGCGGTTCCCCCCGCGCTGTGGGGTAGCTTGGTAGGGCTGGCCCGTTGGCTACGCCCACGAAATCTGAAAACAACTTGAATGTAAATGTGGACTTGTTACCGAGAGGCTGACATGATCACGTTGGCCATCGCAGTCCGCGCATGCCACTGCGTACTGCTGCTTGCTGCCGTTGTTGCGTGCTGGTGGCGATGCTTGCTGCTGTGCTTGTGGCTGCAGGGTGCTGCTGCCGCTGCTGCTGCCTGCTTCGTGCTGCTGCCTCGCGCTGCTGCTGCTGCTGCTGCTGGGGGCAAGGAGTGAGGAGGAAGAGCGAAAGAGGGAGGAGGCGGGAGGAGGCGGGCGGAGTGGACATCTTGGCGTTCTCTTGGGACCTCGTGAGGGGAGACCCCTTTCTATCCCACTGCGTGCTGCCGCTCGCTGTTGCTGTGAGCTGCCGCTGCTTCTGCCCGCTTCGTGCTGCCGCCGCTGCTTTCGTTCGGTACTGCTGGTTGACACTGCAGGGTGCTGCCTCTCGCTGTGTCAGCTTGCTGGCACAACCTGTTGCCAGGAGAGGATCAGGGAGTCAGGATCGAGGAGATCGAGGAGTGAGTAGGGGAAAGCCAGATCCGCGAAGGGCGAGGAGCGACGGTCGAGGAGCGAGGGGCGAGCAGGGATGAGGGAGAACCGAGAAGGGAGGAAGCGGGAGAGGGGGGACGTCTTGACAGTCCCTTGGGGCTTCGTGAGGAGGAGAGGCCTCTCGGGTGCCTCCTGGACGTCTCGTGGGTCCTTCTTGAGGCCTTTGGGGGGCCTCTTGGTCCCATGGGGCTCTCCCAGGCCTCATGGAGCCATCTGGGCAGCCTCTTGGAGTCACCTTGTTGCGTTCCTGGGCCGGGTCGCCTTGGCGACCATCTTGGCTGCCATCTTGGCGGCCTCTTGGGCCGCCTTGAAGCCCTGATTGAGCCGTCTTGGAGCCCTGTTGGGCCGTCTCGGGGCCCCTTCGGGAGCCTATTGTGCCATCTCGGGTCGACATCGGAAGCTTCTTGGGCCGTCCTCTGGGGGCCCAGGAAAGCGAGAACATGCGGAAACTGGTTCGAAAACCATTGGGACAGGCATCGTTCTCCTCCTGGAGGCCCACTCCAGGGTCCTCAACTTGGAGGCGCCTGCGGGCGTGTTTGGTGCCTCTTGGGCCGACTTTGGCAGGCTTGGGGAGCTTTTGAGCGGTGTTGTGGGCTATCTGAGGCCGTCGTGGAGCCTTCTTGGGCGGCCTGGACCGCCTTGGAGCTATGATGGGGCCCTCTTGGGCCTTCTTGGAACGCCCCGGGAGGGCACGGGAGTGCGCCGGGGCCAGCCGGCCAGATTTCAAGGCACTTGGGCGCCCAGCGTTCGTGCACGCGGTACACCCCGCCGTAGAATGTATGGACCGCCATGGGCGCAAAAGACGCCCACCAAGCAGAGAAACTCACGCCCATGCATTGAGAACCCCCGCGTGGATGACGTTGGGCTCCAGCTTCGCCTCACACATCTCGCTCTGCAGCGACAAAGCCCGCTGCCACTGCTCGCCCTTGCCGCACGCGCTCATTCCAGCGTTGAAGCTGACTAGTGTGAACCCGTGGAAACTACACGGCTGGCATGTCAAGGTGTCGGTCCCAAACGCGCATGTGTCGCCGACGCCTGCGGGTGTGCTACCGGGTTTGCTGCAAGCTCCAGGCTCTGGGGCTGGTGGTTGTCTCCGAATATCTTGGGAGGGTCTGGGCTTTCTCGGAATGATCCCTGGAGGGTCATTGTGGCATCGAAGGCTTCCCGCAGTCCGGTCTCGGTGCAGCCTCTTGCAGGAGGAGGCCGAGGAGGAGAGCGAAACTGGAGATGGGGGAATGCAGGCTACCAGATGAGGAAACCGAGGCAGAGAAGATGGAGGAAGGTCCCCCTTGTCACCCCGACTCGGAAGGGGGGATGTAGGGGGACGAGAGCGGTCCAGAGAGAGAGAGAGGTGCAGGCTCGCAATCAAGAAATCCAGGGTCGAGAAGAGAGAAGAGGGTCTCCCTTGTCACCCCTAATCGCTGGATTGGGGGGGAGGGGGGGGGGGGCAACACGTGCTGGGTTGTGCGGGGGGCAGGGGAGGGGGTGATGCGCATGATAGCGAACAGGAGGCCGAGGAGGAAGGGAGCAGCCGAGGGCGGTCTTCGGGTTCTGTTGGAGGTCTTCGGGGACAGCAAAGGGTGCGGGTGCTGCTGCAGGGGCTTCGAGTTATCTAAACGTCCCCTTTGCCAACCCGACCGAATCGGCCGTGTGGGGACCCAAGATTGGCTGGAGCTTGGAGGAAGGGGAGCCAAGGAGAAGGATCAGGAGGAGGAGGAGGAGGAGGAGGAGGAGGAGGAGGAGGAGGAGGAAGAGGGACGGAGGATGAGTGAGAGAAGAGAGCTGGACAGGAGGCTCGTTGGTCGGGAGCGGCCAAGAGGGGGTGTCCAAGAGGGGGCGGTGCAAATCATGACCGGCGGCATGTGCGCGGTCCAGCGGGGGGGGGCAGGGACGTAATGAAATAAGACGAGGCGCCATAAAACCTGAGGAAATATCATGGCCCCCGCCATGATATCCCCCCCCCCAGTCATCATTCCCCTCTTTGCCGCCCCCGAGTTGGGCCTTGTTATTGAATGCTGCTGGGGAGGCACACAAGGGCGGGAGGCTCTCTTGGAAGAGGGTGTGGGGCACCTCGGAGTGGTCCAAGGTTTCGTTCGGGGTCGGCGGCTGTCTTTGGGGCTTCGGGGTTTCCAGAGACGGCGAGAGGGTGCCGTGGCTGATGGCGCTCTGCTTAAAGCTGCTCGGCAAGTGTCGGTGTCTCTCGGAGTCTCTTGGGAGACACTGGGGCATCGGAGTGGTCCTGGGAAGGAGACGTCCTGGGAAAGTTCTTGGCCCATTGGGAGCTGCGGGAGACCCGTCGGCTGGACTATCTTGGGACCCTCTTGGAGGCCTCTTGGGGGTCTTTCTGGAGCCTCCAGGTCGTTTCTGGGGCCATTTTGGAGCGCTCTTGGGCAAGCGTGGGGCTTGTAGGGACGTTCTGGAGCCACCTGGGGGGCTGTTGATGATGGGACTCTTGGGACGTCTGGGGGCTATGTTGGATGGCTCGGGCCGTTTACGAGCCCGCTTTAAGCCCTCTTCGGCAGCTCTTGAGGCCTTCTTAAGTTATGTGGGAAATCTCCTGAGCTGTCTCGGGGGCCTCTCCGGCTGTCCTGGGGCGATGTTGGCGGTCTCGGGACTTCTTGGAGCCCGCTTTGGGACCTGTTGGGCAGCTCCTGGGGCTCTCTTGGGACTGTGTAGGGGGCCACCAGGGGCTCAAGGAAGCTGCCTCGGGCTTCTCTTGAGCAGTGTTCGGGCCCTCTGAGGCCGCCTTGGGGCGCTTGTCGGGGCCTCATGGACCGTCTTGGGGCGATCTGGCAGGGACCTGAAGCCGTCTGGGGTCGTGATTGGCCCGAGATTGCGAGGACACAGCAAAAAACTTCCAAATCCCCCAGCAACACATGATTTTAGTATCGTTTTTTTTGTTGAGATGGAGATCCGCCGCGAAGCTCCACAGGCTGCCACAACGCGCCCGCTGCCTGTTGAAAGCGCCAGCCAGGACGAAAAACATGATTTTAGTATCGGGGGACTGTCGTCAGGGGTCCGTTTCGGCCGTTTGGGGAAGCACCTGGCCCGTCGTCGGGCCGTCTTGGGCTGCGATGGAGCTCCACTCGGTTTCCCTTGGGCCGACCTCGCGCGCTCCGGAGCGTCTCGGAGCTGTCGTGGGACTGTCAGTGGCCGTCTCGGGGACACCCTGGGGGCTCTCGGGAGCCGTCGGAGAGCGCCAGGACGCTTCGGGCGCGCGGGGGCAGCTGGCACACGTTTCGCCCCTGTCCACGCGCAGCGACCAGAGTCGTAGTACAGATGACGTCGGGCTCAACCTTTGCCTCCCGCATCTCACTCAGCAGAGCCAAAGCGTGCTGCCACTGCTCGCCCTTCTCGCACGCGCTGATCCCAGCGCTGTAACTGACGACGTTGGGCTTCAGACTCGCCTCGCACAATTCGCTCAGGAGCGACAAAGCCCGCTGCCACTGCGCGCCCTTTCCACACGCGCTGATCACAGCGCTGCAGCTGACCAGGGCTAGCCCGTGGACTGCGTCCACGAAGTCTGCACGGGCTGACATGTGACTGTGGATGTGCCGTCGTAGGGCTGACATTGATTACGCGGGGCTCGGCCATCGCATTCCGCGCGTCTTACTGCGTGCTGCTGCTTGCTGCCGCTGTTGCGTGCTGTTCACAAGTCTTGGCGCTGGTACGTGCTCTGGCTGCTTGTGACTGCAGGGTGCTGCTCAAAACCACTTCTAGTTGGTGCGTGTTGCTGTCCGTTGTCTGCTGCTACTTGCTGGAGCTGTGCGCTGCCGCTGCTGCTGCTGCTGCTGCTGCTGCTGCTGCTGCTGCTGCTGCCTGCTTCGTGCTGCGTGCGTGCTTCTGCTGCTGCTGCTTGATGCTGCTGGGTGTTGTTTCTCATAACGTCAGCCTGCTGACAAAAGGGCGAGGAAGGAGCAGGGAAAGCCGAGGGGAGGAGGCGGGGGAGATGGACCTCTTCAGGGTCTCTCGGGGCCTCGTGGGGACATGTCTCTCAGGATGTCTCACGGGGGTCGCTTGGGGGTCTCTTGGGGCCTGAACTTGGGGCTTCTTGGGCTCCCCTGGGGGCCTCCCAGGCGCTGGTGGGCGACCTGAAGCCCAGAAAAGCCAAAGCACGCGAACATGTGTGTCAACAAAATCCGTGGCAAATGAATTGTTTTTCCGGCTGCTGGGGGCTCCCCCAGGGGTCCCCGCTGAGCTGTCTTCCTTGGCCCGCCGGGCCGATCTTGATGTGCCCCGGGAGGCCCCAGAGAGGCCCCCAGCATGGCGCAAGAGGCCCCCGAGACGGCCCAAGAGGACACCAGGAGAGCCAGGAGGCGGCCCCGAGAGGCCCCCGAGACTGCCCGCGAAGGGGCCGGGCGGCGCAAGAGCGCCCCAAGACGGCCCACGAGCTGGTCCTGGCACCCTCCCTGCACGCGGCGCTGCAGGCACTGTAGAGGAGGAGAGATGACGCTGGGCTCCAGCGTCGACTCCCGCAGCTCGCTCCACCGCGCCAAGGCCCGCTGCCACTGCTCGCTCCTCTCGCTCCGCGCTGCGCTCCACTGCTTTGCCTTCTCACGCTCACGTACGGCCGCTTCGAAGGAGCAGATGCCTTGCCCTGACCCTCGCCAGAGGACTGGCATCCAGGGGGACCTTGAACCATGAGCGAGAATGGTTGCAGCCAATGGCTTGAGCAACAACGGCTTTGAGCCAAAATGGCTGGGGACGGAGTGAGGAGGGAGGATGGGAGAGGGAGGAGGAAGGAGGTGGAACGAGCTGAAAGCAGAGGAGGGAGGAGCAGAAAGAGGCCTGCGTATCGGGCGGGATGCAAGCGCAAAGACTTCGGAGTCATCACTCCCGATCTTGGAGGGGAAGAAGGAGGGAGGAGAGAGGAGAGGAGGCATGATGAGTGAGGGGAGGGAGGGGAAGGAGGAAGAGGGAGGAGAGAGGGAGAAGGGAGCAGGAAGCAGGGAGGGCGAGGTCCTGGTCCTCAGCCCCAGCCCCATCCCCTCGCTCTGGTTTTTCTTCTTCCTCCTCCTCCTCCTCCTCCTCCTCCTCCTCCTCCTGCTCCTCCTCCTCCCTCCCTCGGGTCGGCAGGGCGGGCTGGGCGTTTCGGTTGAGAGTTCCTCACCATTTGGGATCCTGAAGCTTGACAGTTGCGACGGCTTCGCTGGTGGAGGGCGGGTCGTCTTCAAGCTCTGGCTCTCGCCTCAGCGCCACGCGCATCCGCTCACTGTTACGTCTGTGAGAGCTTCACGGGTGGAGGGCGGGTGGTCTCCGAAATGTGGCTCTCGCCCCAGCGCCGGGCACAATCGTCTGAAAAGTTCGCAGGGTTTTCACTGAAAGAAGGCGGGACGTTTTCAAGCTGTGGTTTTCGCCTAGGCGCCGTGCACGTTCGTTGTACAAGTTTACAAGAGCTTCACGGATGAATAGCAGTTCCTTTTCAAACTGTGCCTATCGCCTTAGCGCCGCGCAGAATCGTCTTAGCAGTTTGCGACAGTTTTAAGGGCTCTTATAGCTGGCATCATAGAAATACTGTTTTAGCGGGGGTTAGGGTTGTCAGGTCGCGACGGCCACGTTGATTCGCGGTGTTGACGTCCCAGACACGGTCTTCTGGCACGACTTAGGATGGTCAGTTCGCAACAATAACGTTGATTCGCGGCGTTACAGTCCCAGGATGGTGCTATGGCACGGTTGAGCATTTCAGACGGTTGTCTTCCAACGGGGCTCTTCCCGCAGTGGAAAGATAAATCCTTAGAGGGGCCTACGATCAGGGAACTTGGAGGGAGGGTTTATTGAAACATGGTTGATGACTCTTGGGTTTGCACTCGTCCTCCAACTCCTCCTCCTCCTCCTCCTCCTCCTCCTCCT